CAGCAATGACAACAGCTGCTTAGGGTTCTGGTGACGACAGGGAGGTGAAGATTGTCCTAAAACTCCTCCCAGCCTAAGTCTGTTATACTGAGACAGGGGTGAGCAAACCCGGAGAAGAGGCCCCTTCACTCTAAGGAACACAATGCCTTCCCTGATAGCTGTGCATGAGATTCCTCACGCCTCTGCTCAACTCTACACAACTCTCTAATGGTGCTCTGTAACCCAAACCATAATTTATAACTGCTTACAAACTACATTGTTGGACACACCTGCAAATTTTGAAGTATAGCCCAAGCAGGCTTTCCTTAAATATAGCTTTTAAATACCTAACTGATGCCACATGAGTGAGAACCACAGGTGAGGATATGAGGGAAGATCCTAAACACAGTTATGTGCTCATTTAATTTACATATCCACAAGTTACATATGCGTGGGTATCATCTAGTGTTTATATCCCCATGCAGAGCTGGGAGGAATCTTTCTACATTATGTCAAAAAGACAAGGGTTTTTTTTGGTGTTTTTTAAATTTCTCCATTATATATGATAAGACTTACCTGAGTAGCTATGCTGCTTCAAGAAAAACTTTCTTATGTATCTCTTTCTTTTTCCCTTATCAGGTACAAGACTTTCAAAAATAGGTTAATGCTTTATACTTTCTGTACTCTCCATCAAACACTTAACTACTAAACGCTGGATCAGGGAGCTCTGGTGGCCTAGTGTTAAGGAGCCGCGCTACAATCACAAAGGCACACGCCTCAAGACAACCAGCTGTTCTGCGCTAGAAGGATCACCTTCCATGTGATTTACAGCCTCTGAAAACCCACTGTAGCATCAGCTATGAGTCAGTTCCAACGCAATGACACACAACAACAACTCTAGATCCATCAAAAATTAATGTGTAAAGTCCGTTAGAAACTTGAGCTGAAGACTGACAACCCCACAAGAGTAGCAACAATAAATGTTTGTGGTGGTCACCCAAAGAACTGTTTTAACTACTCATTTCAAAGTATTCTGGGGAAAACGTACATTCCCCACTGTAGATGTACATAGCAAATCTGTGGCCTATTTCTCAGATCTCTCAGTGAGACAGCATCAGATGAACATCCGCTCACAGAAGCATCAGAATTGTATTTGCTCAAAATGAAACCAAATTTAAGGGTAAGTGTTAGCCTGGAAGACACAGCTCTTAACACATATCCTGTGAAATGTCATGCAAAATTGCTGAAAGCTAAAAAAGATGACAGGGAAGTCAAATTTGGGTTTTTCATTGAGAAACACTGTGTCTCCCAAAAATATAAAATCCCTTATCATTATACAAATTTTCATGGGGGCAGCCACTGCGTCAGTCCTCAGTGAAGGTCTTCCTCTGTTTTGATGATTCTCTTCTTTTCCAAGCATGATGCTATTATTCTCCAGGAACTGGTCTCTTCCTGGCAGCATGTCCAAAAAATGTGACATTCTCTCCATCCTCCCTTCTAGGGAGCCTTCTGGCTGCACTACTTCCAAGACAGATGTTTGTTCTTTTGGCAGTTCCCAGCAGATCCTTATCAACACAATTCAAAAGCAGAAATTCTTCTTCAGTCTTCCTTATTCATTGTTCAATCTTCACCTGTTGTTTTTGTTGTATTGTTGACTGCCTTCGAGTTGAGGTCGACTCATAGCTCTATGAACAAAAGACCTAATGCCTTTCCATAACTATTGTCTTTTCTCCAAGTTCATAGCATTTACAGAGGCATGTGGCTTAGGAAGTAGAAGCCACTCCTGCTTCCAAAACTGTTTTACAACTAGAAGCTCCAAACACTGTCCACACTGGGAAACCATTCTGGTATTTGTAGCAATGGTACAAGGTTCAGCATCACAGCAAACTCAAGTTACTGACAAAGAGTGATGTACAAAGTGGAAAAGTGTTCCTCCAGATATAACAGCACTAGTTTCATTTAGCAGCGGTTAAGTGTCATCAAGTCGAATACAACTGAGAGTAAGCTTTGCACAAAAGACCTGAACTCTGTTCTATAATTAACAACATTTCTGTACAGAAATCTGTTCTATAACGATCATCATTTCTGTACCTTTATGAAGTTTATAGAGTTTAGAAAGTTTGTAGAGTTGTCAGAGGCATCTAGTTTAAGAAGTGGATGCTACTCTTGCTTCCCAGTATAAATCTGGAAGCTCATCCAACCAAATATTTTGCATAATGGGTAACCATGATGGTATTTGACAAGACTATGGAACAGTGTGCAGCATCACAGCAACATCAAGTTGTTCAGTTCAGCAAATAGAAGATTGCTATATCATTTAAGGAATATTCATTCAAAAATTAATAAATGTTGGCCTGCAGTCCCATCCCCTCCCCCTGTGGGATTCTAGAACCACACCTTTGAGCAGACCTCCACCCTAGGCAAAGGCTCAAGGATACCCACTCTTGGGGGGAAAAGAGCAGTAAAACACATCAAACACGACCCTAAAAAACTTCCCTTACATGTCAGACAGGACTGCCATCAAGGTGCCAGTTAGCAGCCAAACTCCCAGAGTGGAGGTTCCAGGCCTTGGCTTACATAGTTGTTATGTGCATTGAGTTTCCCGCAGCCCACAGCGACCCTATGTATAACAGCTCTGAACCCTGCCATGTACTGGGCCAATCTCATTCATTTCGACACACCAACCCCATTGCCCCAGTCACTGTATCAATCCATCTCGTCTGGGGTCTTCCTCTCCTGCTCTGTCCCTCCACCCTTCTGAGCATGATGTCCTTCTCCAAGGACTGGTCTCTCCTGGCCTCATGCTCAAAGTATATGAGACAGAGCTTCAAATTCCTAACCTCCAAGGAGTAACCTGGTTTCACCCTCTCCAAGACAGACCTATCTGTTTTCTTGACAGTCCATGGTCTGTTCAAGACTCTTCTCCAACACCACAATGCAAAGGCATTGATTCTTCTTTTGTCATCATTAGTAATTGTCCAGCTTTCTTTTTTTTATTATTATTAAATTTTATTAGTTTTAATGAACATTTACAGAGATTTTGGGTTTTCATTCATTCATTGTTGCACTGTTTAATTGTCCAGCTTTCTGATGCATAGCAAGTCATTACAAAGACCATGGCCTGCATTAGGCGCACCTTAGTCTCTAGACTGACACTGTTGATTTTCAGCACTCTAGAGAGGTCCCTGACAGGAGATTTTCCCAATGCAATTTTGAGTTCCTGACTGCTGGTGTTAAGAGTGTTGACTATGGGGCTGAGCAGGCAGTTATAGTTAATCTTCACCTAAGTATGAAGCACATTAAAATACAGTGGTTTGGGACAAGCACACTTTAGCTCTCAAACATGATATAAATGCTCTTTAGCATTTTAACAAGGTATTTTGCAGCAGAAGCATTTTTGCACAATGGCATGTCATTTAATATTTCCATCCCCTCATGGTTGGTTTGTTGTTTTTTTGAAAGTTCACAGAAAAGTTAATTTTCATTCATTCACTGTTACAATTACCTTCCTACACCACCAACCAGTTCACTTAAAAAAAAAACAAAAACCAAAAAACAATGACCAACAAGACCAAAACCCGAACATGCTTTCATTGTTCCGTAATTTCTTGACTACGACTTCCACAGCTGTTGACTGTGGATCCAAGTAAAATTAAATCCTTCACACCAGCAGTTTCTTATGCATTTATCACCATGTAGCTTATTGGTCTATTTGTAAAAAGTTTTGTTTGCTTTATGTAGAGGTGTAACATGCACTGAAGGTTACTTTAAGTCTTTGGTCTTTCTCTGGAAGTATTTAAATTCCTCTTCACATTCAGCAAGCAGGGTTGTATCAACTGCATATCATAGGATGCTCATGAATTTTCCTCCAAATCTGATGCTGAGTTCTTCTTCAGAGTTCTTCTTCAGAGTCTAGCTTCTTGTAATATTTACAATATTCTTGTAATATGTACAAGCTAAGTACATATAGTGAAAGAATAAACTCTTTCCTGATTTTTAAACACACAGTGTTCTCTCCCCGCCCCCCCAAATACCTGCCCCTTTGTCTATGCACCGGTTTTAGAAGTACACAATTAATTGTTATGGAATTCTCACTGTTTTCTGTAATTTGTTATGATTCGCAGGCTAATAATTCCTTTGCAAAGTCAATAAAACACAAGTAAACAGATTTCTGATATTCTCTGCTTTCTGCCAAGATCCATCTGGCATCAAGTAATGACATCCTTCTTTCAACATCATCTTCTTGAAACTCTGGCAGCCATCTACGAATACACCACTGAAATTGTTTCGAAGTCTCTTCAGCAAGACTCTTTTTTCATACGATATTAATGATATCGTTGATAAATTTTGTCGGGTCATCTTCTTAGAAATGGGCACAGAAACGGCGCGCTTCCAAATGACTGGCCAACTGTCTTCCCATTTCCTCAGCAAAAGATGAGTGAGCATCTCTAACACCACACCTGCTTGCTGAAACATTTCAATCAGCACCATGTCGATTCCTGGAGCCTTGATTTTCACCAATCCATCAGCAGTTTTTAGATTTCTTCAATACTGTTGGTTCTTGATGATGTACTACCCCTGAAACAGCTAAAGATCTGCCAATTCTTTCAGACAGCTCTGAATATGCCTTCCACTGAGTCATTCAATATTTTACTCTCAGAATCTTTCAGTAAGATATAAGGGGGACAAAGTCAGATGGTAAAGAATTAAGAGCAAAATTAATGTTAACAGGTGAGGGCAAAGAAAACAAGAAAATGAATCTCAAGTTGAAAAGCAGCCCTTTCTAACAATGAGGGCCTCCCAGCAAAGAGGTGAAGCGGGCTTAGCCCAGGATGTTCACTGGCCACACACAGGCTGGGCAGCCACAAAAGGGACGTAGAGGAGGTAAAGGCACGAGGGGAGCGATGGAAATGGAGCTCCTGACTGTCACGGTCCCTTCCAACCCTTAGGGCAAGCAGTACATATCCACAGTAGCGCTGACATTTAAGCACCTCATCCAAGATAACACTGATGTTCCTTACCTCCTGAAGCTGAGATTCTTTCTTTTTGGAAGACAAACTCAAGTGTTTTTCCAAGATGCCACAATACTTCTCTGTCTCCTTGTCATACTTCTTTTTTGCCTCCTAGAAAAAAAGAGAATAAAGGATAAGAAAGAGAAAGAAAAAAAAAAGAATAAAATATTATAGGAGTAAAAATAGCTTCAATCGTCTTCTTTTTGCAGCCACATAGCTAGTTCCTTCCAACCACAGAACAGCAGCTGACAGGCTGGATCCTACTCTTTAAACTAATACCTATCACAGCATGGGACCAGACTCATTGGGTTGAAAGTCTATTATACAGGAACCACCGTGCCAGAAATTGGGAGCTCAGGTGGCCTAATGGCAAGAAGCTGTGCTGCATGCAATACAGAAGGCAAGCAGTTTGAATCCACTAGCTGCACAGGAGAAGGATGAGCAATCTCCTCTCATGTAATTAACTTCTAAAAACCCGCTGGAGGGTCAGCTATGGGTCAGAGAAGGATGGGCAATCTCTTATAGTGTGATTAACTGCCCCTGAAAACCCACTGGAGGGTCATCTATGGGTCAGTTCTTACTCTACAGTATGCAGTGGCAAACCCAGGACTCCGTCTTCTAACATGCTAATTGCAAAAGCAGAAAATGTCTACTTTCTAAAGCAGGAGGGTTTGTCAAAACTGGCAGTGGGAGGAGGAGGAAGTTATCAATGACACTAATATCAAAGATCAGTTTAGTCACTGGTGGCCTAGTGATAAGAAGCTGCACTGCAATCCCAAAGATAAGCAGTTTGGATCCTGCAGCTGCTCGGCAAGAAAAGGATGGAAAATCTCTTGCTGCGCCATTTAATGTCTCTGAAAACCCGCTGGAGGGTCAGCCTTGGGTCAGTTCCAAGTCGATAGCAATGAGTGAGTGAATGACAGTACACAAGGCACTTGATTGATGCAACATTTTCCCATTATAGAAAGTAGAACCTTTGAGCTGAGTATGAGCCGTACTTAAGGCTCACCTAATCATTCCCATTGGCCTTGTCAGCAAGCCTAACAGGGAGAGCCCTGGTGCTGGGGCAGTTTCAGCTGGCCAGGGGTGAGACAAAGCCAGAGAACATGAGTCACATTCTGCAATATTCTGGCAACTCGAGCCTCTACATTCCATGTTCCACATGCAAGAAGATAGCCAGAGAGTAAAGGAAGCAGTTACTGTCTTGAGAAAAACAGCAGCAAGATCCCCGAACAACTGTTGAAATGCTCTCATAGTGGGAGGGTGGGATTACCAAGATCCCCGAACAACTGTTGAAATGCTCTCATAGTGGGAGGGTGGGATTACTCAGTTACTCCAGTCAGAAGAAGGTTTGCATCTTTTACGGACTCTATTAAAGGAGCTCTTGTGGCACAGAGGTTAAAATGCTCAGCTGATAATCAATACGCTGGTGGTTCAAATCCTCCAGCTGGTCTGCTGGAGAAAAAGATGTAGCAGTTTCCTCCCTCAAAGATTATAGCCTTGGTGGACCCTACCCTACGGCTGTTCTAGTCCTATAGGATCGAGATGAGTCAAAGTGACCAGACGGAAACAAGTGTACAGAGTCTGATGTGGGTGGCAAAGGAGATAGTGGACAGAAAATCTCTTATTTTGGGGACACATTCTCATCACAATATTTACTATAAACACCACACATCCCTCTCCCAAAATCCGCGTCCTCATCTATATATTGAAGATGACAGGAAGAGATAATTGCTCTAGTTTCTTTTCGTTCAGAGGCTGTTTAACAAGACAAAACTAAGAATACCCATCTCAAGAGGTTGTTAGGACACACACACACACACACACCAGTAACTGTCAGTGATGATGATGGTGATGTGGTGGTAAAGATGAGGAAGGACATTATATCATCTCCATCTCCATCTACCTCCTTTAGATTAAGAACTATCCCTTGTTTTCCAAGCCTCGGCATTTGAAACCCTTCAAAGCCACCTCAAGTGGTAATTATAATGTTATTTAGATTTGTCTTTCTAGGGAGTTTTGGTGGCCTCGTCAGCAGGGAGTTATACTGCCAATGCAAAAGCAAGTGATTCAAATCCACCAGCTACTCCAAAGAAGATGGGCAATCTCTTCCATGTGATTTACAGCCCCTGAGAAATCAGCTGGAGAGTCAGTTATGTGTTGGTTCTGACTTCACGACAATGAGCTGGTTGATTTCATTTGTTTGTTTGTTTTTAATGTCTTCCTTCATTCTTCGATGAGCACATTTGCACACGATCCCCTCACTATGCCACTGCACAGGGCAGTGTCAGGCACATATTTTTTTCTAGTAAGTGAATGGTATATAACTAATGCAACAGCTAACATCAAATGACTACTAACTACAGACTCTAAATGTTCTAAACTGTTTCTATTCATTCACTTTTTTTCCTTCATAATATCTCTGTGATGTTTGTTTGTTATCCCATTTTAGAGATCAGAAAACCAGCATGATCAGGCAGGCATACAGACAAATGGCAAAAATTTGGATTTGGAATTAAGTCCTCTAGCTCTGGAGTCCACCCCTAAGCACTACTTTCTAGTATCTATTTTCACCATCAAGTCCAGATCTCCACATTCACATCTGATGCAGGCAATAATGACCTTTCCAAACTCCAGACACAGAGTCATGGTCATGCCAAGCTCCAGGCTGTGCCCACCATTCGGTAGTCACAAGTTAACACAAGAAGGTCCTCCTCGGCACTCTGCACTGAGCACTCAGACTTCTACCTCTGCTAAGTAGCAACAGGTTGTTATAGTAACCGGTGAAGCAAACGAGTGGGGAGTGGAAGAAAAAGTAATTTTAGCATCATATGGGCAGAATTCAGAAGCCTGCACTCAGGTGCAACTGAAAACAGCTGAAAGGAACTTGTGAGCTCTTAGGGATTCTTGAAATCATTCTCTATTGACTAAGAAGGTGTTTGTTATTTCTGGTGTTTTCCCTTAAATTTACATAATATTATAATAAAACTTATTGTGGTTACTGTTGGTAAGTGCTTGCCAGTCACAGTGACCTTATGGAAGGCAGCTATGCTCACCGCTATACCACCAACGCCACAGTGACATTATGAATAGCAGATCTTGTCCCTATTCCATCCCCTGCCATGATCATCATCTCTGATACACATAAGCCCATTGCTTAATTGTAGCTAAATTGCAGTTAATGTGTCAATTCATCTAGTTGAGGATCTTCCCCTCCTTTACTGATGCTCCACCTTTCCAAAAATTATGTCCCTTTCCAAGGAACAGCCTCTCCTAACAACATGTGCAAAATACATAAAAAGGAAGCCTCACTACCCCTGTCTCCAAGGAGAACTCTACTCTGGTTGCAGTTTCTCCAAGACATATCTGTCTGTTCTTTTGGCAGTTCATAGGCTATTTAGTACCTTTCTCCAACACCACAACTCATTAAATGCATCAATTCTTTTCCTGCCATCTTTATTCACTGTCCAGTTTACAGATGCATAACAGGTGACCAGAAAGACTGTGGCTTAAATCAGGCACACCTTAAACTTTAAAATGATGTCATTGCTCTTTAGGACTTTGAAAAAAGTCCTAAGAGTAGACTTTCCCAGTGCTATATATCTCCTGATCTCCTGACTGTTGGAACTAAGGATGTTGACAGTGGATCCAAGCAGGATGAAATTGACAATTACAATCTTTTCTCCATCAATCATGAAGAAGCTAATCATCCCAGCGGTGAGGATTTTTTATTTTTCTGATGTTGAGAATGTAATCCATATTGAAGGCTGCTGTCCTTGATCCTCTGCAGCAAGAGCCTCAGGTCCTCCTCATGTTCAGCAAGCAAGGTTGTATAATCTGAATAACTCGGGTTGTTGGTGAGTCTCCTTGCTGTCCTGATGCCACACTCTTCTTCATAAAGTCCAGCTTCTCAAATGATTTGCTCAGCATACAGAGTTCCCGTGCTCGGTTTGGACAACAGCTTGCCCGTCAAAGTACAGATGTTGTGTAAGTATAATAAAGTGTGCTGGAATTCCCGTTCTTCTTACTGTTAGCCATAGTTTGCTATGATCTACATAGTCAAATGGTATAGTCAATAAAGCTAGAGAGCTATTCTGTTGGTTTTCTCTGCTACTGGGACACATGGTGGGCCAGCTCATGGCGGCCGGAGCTCCCTCTTCATTAGGAGCAGGACCCAGATGCACTTGTTACTGTTAGGTGCTGTCAAGTTGACTACCACTCACAGCAATCATGTGAACAATGCAGCGGAACTGTGCCAGCTTCACCATCTCTACCATGCTTAAGCACACTGTTGCTGTCACTGTGTTAATCCATCTGGTTGAGGATCTTCAACTCTTTCATTGACTCTCCACCTTCCCAAGCATGATGTCCTTATCCAAGGATTAGCCCTTCCTATCCACATGCCCAAAGTATGTGAGGTGAAGCTTCATTACATTCTCACCTCTACAGAAGCAACCTGATTGCACCTTCTCCAAAATGTATTTATTTGTTCTTTTGGCATTCCATGGGATGGATATGAGTACTCTTCTCCAACCCCACAGCCCAAAGGTATAGACACTTCCTGTCACCTTTAGTCAATATCCAACTTTCAGGTGCACAGCAAAGAACTGTAAAGACCATGGTTCAGATCAGGTGCACCTTAGTCTTTAAACATATATCATTGCTCCGTAGCACTATGGAGAGATCCTTGACAGCTTATTTTCCAAATTCAGCACATCTTCTAACTTTTTGACTACTGGAAGCGAGAGTGCTGACTATAGATCCAAGCAAGATTAAATCACTGGCAGCATCAATCTTTTCTCCATCTATCATGATCTTGTTGGTTAAGAACACTGTAATTAAAGCACTCAGCTGTTACTAAAAGGTTGGTAACTTAAACTCAACATTGACTGCAGGAAAGAAGTGTGGCAGTTGGCTTGTATAAAGACTTGCAGCCTCAGAAACTCTAAAAGGACAGTCCTACTCTGTACTACAGGGTTACCGAGCTTGACAACAATGAGTTTGATTTTGTTTGTTTGTTGTGTTTTGTTGGGTCTTTAAAAAAAACACACACACACACACACACCAAACTAGCGGCCCAATGGTTAAGTACAGGGTTGATAACCAAAAGG